TTTCCCATCCTGGGGGCCTGTTCCCTATCCTGGCAGCTGTTTCTAAATTACCACACAGAGACTTAGTATTATTTGTAAATGTGCAGCGGATAGCTCAGGCTTATTACTAACTAGCTCTTACATTTACATGAGCTCATTTCTAGTCATCTACGTTTTTCCATGTGGCTCATGGTTTAATCTGTCCTTTAGTTTGTCTTGTTCCCCTGGTGGCTAGTTGGCATCTTTTTCTCTACACTTCTTTCCCCCAGCATCATCAGTCTGATTGCCCCACCTATACCTTTCATCTGGCTCTCAGCCAGTTAGCATTTTATTAACAATGAGAATAATCCACAGCCCAAGTGTATGTGTCAGAGCTCTTTGGCCGTCATTTCCCAGTGCCCAGTTGCCCTCTGAGGCGGGCTAGTCCAAATCTGTGCTCTGGTTTCCTGAGTCTGACTTGCTGGGGTCGTGATGTCCTTTCTGTGTGGTCTCGGTTCATGGACTTTCCATTTAAGTAAAAAGATCTAAAAGGTCACTGCTCACCTTTGCATAACCTGTCCTGGTTTCATTCTTGCTGACCTGTTCTCAGTGCTCCCCTGCCCTTTCCTCCGGGTCCTATTTGTGCAACTCTTTTTCGAGTGAGTCAGTGTGAGTCAACATAACCAGTCCTGCAAGTCACCTGAGGGCCACATCCCACAGTGGTCCATGTGAGGGCTGCAGTGAGGTCCCTTCCTGGTTTGTTTCTGCAACCAGGCTGTGACTTTGATTTCTCATCACAGCCCATCTTATTCCCCACTGGCCCTTCTTTGTCTCCCACTGCTAAGCTTTGGCCCCCTTGCAGCAGAACTCACTTCTCTAAAAAATTCTTCCTCAACTGTGCAGGTTAGTTTTCATTGTCAACTTGATGCAACTTCGAGTCTTTAAAATTTAGTTGGTTTTTTTGAAGATATATTTATTTCTATTGTATGTGTATGGATGTTTTGTTTACATGTATATCTGTGTACCACCTGTGTACTAGTGTTTGTAGAGGTCAGAAGAGGCACTGCGTACCCTGGAACTTGAGATACAGATGATTGTGAGCCACCACAGAGGTGCTGAAAATCAAACCTGGGTCCCCTGGAAGAGCCATAAGTGATCTTAATGGCTGAGCCATCTCTTTAGCTCACAGCCTAGACTCTAGGTCCTAGAGTCCTCTGAGAGATTACTTAGATCAGGTTGGCCTGTGGTCATGTCTGCGGGGTAGTCTTAATTGTTAATTGATGTGGGAAGATTCAGCACACTGTAGTACCATTCCCTAGGCAGGGGGTCCAGAATTTGCTAAGAGAGGAGAAAGTTACATAAGTAGCCAGCAGACAAGGATCCATGTGTGTGTTCTCTCTCTGCTCTTGACTCTGGACCTGGGACTTCAAGTTCCTGCCTTGAATTCCCTACAACCATGGATTTTAAGCTGTAATTGTGAGCCAAACAAACACTTCCTTATGTTACCTTTTGTTGGATAACACATACAGCCACAGGAGTGAAACCAGATCACCAGCCCTTTTCATGGCTGACTTCCCGGCTGCTCAGTTCTCTTTCTTGGCACAAGTGATGCCTCCTCAGAGAAACCCTCCTTGACCCACCTACCCCACTCAAATTTCTTCATATCAACTGTTTCATTGTTGTCACCCAACCTACCATTTTCTGATAACTTCTTATCTATTTGTTAATTATCTCCTGGCCCCAGATGATAATCTCAGTGCCGACGAAGGGTCTCTTCTTCATCAGTGCTGCTTTTCAGAGCTAAAGAACGGTGCCAGGGAATCCTGGGCATCCAGTCAAGAATTCTTTTTTTTTTTTTGTCTTTAGTAACTCAACACTTTCTTTTACCCTTTCAAGTCACAGAGTGGGCATGGTGTGGCAGATAGAGTGCTGGCTGGCTCAGAGCTCATGCCTAGGCACGTGCCGACTGCCTTACTCATCCTGCAATAGCAGGAATGCCATTAAAACTCTCACTGGGCCTGCATTTCCTCCACTATATCCCAGAGGAAGTCCCTGCCACATCTCCAGAGCTTTCCTGCAGATTAAACTGTGTCAGTAAGATAATGCAGCATGAATACAAGGTAGGGTAGCTTCAAGCAGAATAAGGGACATCACAGTAAACACGGGGAAGAGAGGATTCTAGACTCATCCTCCAGATGCCAACCTCTGACAGGCAGCATGGGCACTCATCAGATGATGGAAGGTGAGATGCTGGTCACTTCGCTGCCTTCTAGCGAGGTTTTGTACTGGTACACTGTGACTATGTTCAACCGATTGCCTGTTTCACGAGGTGTGTTCTAAAGGGATGTGTTTTCCCACCCCACAAGCTGATTCTGAGATGCCTGCCTCCTGAGGCTGGACTGGATGGAGGACAGCTAGACTTAGGGTAGGCACAGCAGGGACTGAGAGTGCGGTGTGGTTTCCAGAGAGGCTTCTCACATGGGCGCCATCTGGCAGCCATCTTTGATCATCGTCAGTGTGTGTGGGGCACTTGGAGAAGAGTGAGCCTGACTGGGGTGGTGGGGTTTGGGTCCAGCCTGAAGAAAGAGCTCCAGGGTCAGTGTAGTACCCCTTTCTCCCTGTGGTTGTACTTCTGTCCTTCTCCATCGTTTCCCTGGACCTTAGCTGTGGTTCTTCTAGAGCTCAGAACTGCACCAGGTCCCGACATCTACTTCTCTCTCCTTTCCTCATCAGTAGCTCTGGAGAGGCCTCTGCTTGCCTACCACAGAGCCTTGCTTAGCCTTGTGCTCTCAGTCAGGGTTCAGTCTCAGAGGGTCTTACACAACTTGGCCATCTTGGATCTTGGGGGACTTGTTTCTCTTCTTGGTTCCCACTGTTTGCCTTCCTGTCTTTTCTTATGCTCACCCCAACCCCCATGTCAAATGTCTGATGAGAAAAAAAGTAGGGGTTGGTGGTGTCTGGGTAGTAACAATGGAAGTTGGCCTGAACAGGCTAAATTTAACAACTTGGATGAAATGGGCCATTTCCTGAAACAGTAAGTGCACAGAGTTCACATAATAGAGGAAATGCTGCCAGAGTAATCCTAAATATATTTTTGAAATTAAACTTGAGTTTAAACTTCCCCTCAGGCAAGGAAAATCTTTGTGGTCTCAAGGGTTCTGAGATCCATGTGAGTCTTAAGTCCAGGGCCAAAAGTGGGGTACTTGAACAAATAATTGTCAGGTGTCACAATTAAAGCTTTTGTTCTGGTCATTCAAAGTCAGCCTAGGAAACATAGCAAAACCATATCTCAAGTGTTTTAAAAAAGGAAAAGAAAAAATGGGCCAGGAATGGACCTCATTAGTAGAGTGCTTGCTTAGCATGTGAGAGGCCCTGGGCTCAGTCCCCAGTGCTGGAAAAAAAAAAGCCATTGATATGAAAACATTCTTATTTTTATTTTTACAAAGGGGGCCAATGATTTAAACACATGCTTCACCAAAAAAGACACACAGATGGAGATTGAACCATGAAAAGATTCCCAGTGTCATTACTCACTGGAGAAGCGTACATTGAAACCACGGCAGCTTCATCCACACACTTATTGAAGCAACTAAACAGAACCAACCACAATAATTTTTGACTTGGATGTGGTGTGTCTGGAACTCTCATATGGTGTTTGACACAGTGTTACAGATACTTTGAAATAGTTTATCAGTTTCTTACAAGCCTAGACATACACTTATCAACTCATCCAGCAGTCTCTCCCCCATCACCCAGGGAAGACTGATGCCTCTATGCAAATGTTGACAAGGGCCCTAGTTACGATTGTCAGAGTCTAGGGACAACCCAAGCATCTTCCAGCAGGTGAACTGGATAGGGGAACTTTAGTGTATCTTTGACCTGAATACAGCTCAGCAGGGAAAAGGTGCATGCTATTGGTATGAACAACAATGTGACTAATTTCAAACACATTGTCACATAAAAGGAAACATCCCAGAAAAGTCCATGTTCAAGGTCATCCTCAGATATATAGAAAGTTGGAAACCAGTCCAGGATACATGGACCCCTGTCTCAAAAACAAAACAAAACAAAAACTCCACTTACCCACCCAAACAATCAACTAATCAACCAAACAAACAACCTAACAAAACCAAACCAAGAATGCCATGGGCTGTGTACCAACCCCTTAACACACGGATGGACCTTCAGATAACATTCAAAATCCAAACTGTAGCTGTGAAGAGACTTTGCTTTGCTGAAAATACCCAAAGTCTGTCCCCAAGAAAGGAGAGCCCCTGGGTCAAACATCTCTGCATTCTGCAACTTAGCCCCCTGTAGGAGACCTGATGGCTGGGTTAGGATGAGGACTTGAGAGCCTTTACCCTCATTTGGTTCCTGCTGTGGAGGGGACACACCTCATCCTGTGACAGCAGAAGGTCCTCTCCCTATCCTCCTCCTCTGACAAATGGGGACCCATAGCTCCCTAGGGAGCTTGGAGTGTATACCCAGATGAGCTTCCAGAGACTGCAGGAGTGGGCATGGCCTGCCTGGGGCTGCTGATCCAGTCTTTGGACATTTAGAGGTGGGATTGTTTCTCCTTGTGACAGTTTAGCTTCCCTTTCTTTCCTCCTTTTCCCCTGACTTCTTCTGACTTACAGTTGGTATTTCTGCCAAGTAGAATATAAACAAGCAAAGAGACAAACAAACAGCACCTGTCAGGGACAATGCTAAAAGTGCTGGTTGGAAATTTTATATTTTTATGCCTTTACCAAACTTAGCTCCATCAGAATAGTTAATCCACGTCTTTGTACAGGCTACATAAGGAATAGAAAATGTTAAAAAAAAAAGTTACTTGGGAAGTTTCAAATCAAGCATCATAGACAAAAGACAAAAACTCATGTACCCATTGCCAGTTTTGACAGTGGCCAACTCCGGGCCAGCTTTGTGTGGCTTCCACCCTGTCCTCCCCTCCTAGAGTGTCTGGGGGCAGAGCCGCAGGAAGATTTTGGTAGTGGCACTGACTGCCTCTGCACAGTATCCTGATTGTATGTGTTTTCTTTCAGATAATCGCCTTTGACGAGTTAAGGACGGATTTTAAGAGTCCCATAGACCAGTGCAACCCTGTCCATGCGGTAAGTAGTGGTGCCAGTGGTAGGCAGGAAGTGTCCCCACAAGTCACCAGGCTCATGAAAGACAGCGGTGGGGGGTTTAAAGAGCAGAATAAAGGAGAATATGCTGTCCTGGTCCTATCTATATTCCTTGCTAATAGTTGTTACAGTGTCTCCTTGCTGAGGTCTGTTGAGCTCTTGCAATACATTGCCAGTCAAGTGTGGCAGTTCCTGTAGCCTGGGGAGGGGGAATCTGCTGCACTGTGGTGCTAAGTCCTCAAAGCCTGATGCCAGTGATTTTTGGTTCCTTATCTATGACCATAGACAAAGGCTCTGTGTTGGCCAGCATGTCTGTAGGGTGTGCAAGTATCATGTATGAGCCTCTTGCTCTGCGGGAGGTGGGCAGTAGTTGGGTTTCTCATGGAAGGCAAACGGATGGGTGCAGCACCAGGTACAGCCCCGTTATCTGGTGGGCTTTCATCTCTCATGCCTGAGTCTTCGGGTGAGCTCCTTATGCACAGGGAATCTGGTGCAGTCTGGTTGAGGAACTCTGGGCTCTGTTTCTGGATGTCAGGTCTGGATCCCCACTCTGCTCATCTCCAAAGCCTGTCTTCTGACCACCAACTCAAGATGGTTCTGGAAAAGACTTGACTTTATGATATCTAAGCCCTGTTTTGGCATCACAGCCTTTGATTCTATAAAGTAGAGCCAAACTCTGTCAAAGTCAGCTATAAAAAGCAAACTGGGTTAGTTGAAAGTACCCTTAAGAACCACCTGAAAGCTGAGTGTATTTCATAAAAGTTGTAATTTTTAAAACCCATTTTATTCTCCTCTACCAGCCTCACCACCCACCTGTGATAACTTGGCTCTGCCAGGCCTGAATGGTTTTTGCCCAGGGGCTCATGTCTTTCTGGACACTGAGTTTGGCATCAACAGCACACACCTGCTCATCAGTACCCATAGGTGCTCAGACTGGCCTGAAGCCAAGCATGTTCGTTTCTAAATGCCAGGAAGTCAGGAGCCTGAACCCTCCTCCACCTCTCTGGAGTTTCTGGTAGGATTCCCAAGAAGAACACGTGGAGAGATCTTCCATCCTGTCAGTTCCATGCCAGGTTGTGGACACCTGGTGGAACCTGGAGATGCTTTTGTGGAGTCTGTTTTTGGCTCATCAGAACAACTCCTTTATTTGGGCATTATGTTAAGACTTGCATACCCGCCATCCCTTAGGGAGTGTGTGTGTGTGTGTGTGGGTTGCTTCTGGAAAAGAGAGTGCAGAAAAACAGTCACTAGGAACATCCAGAACTACTTGCCAGGAACAGAAATGGGTACCGCAGGATGAAGGCATGGGCCTCTACCCCTTGCTCTTTCTGTGGTTCTGGGATGGAGCCCAAGCCTTCGCATATACCCGAGACAAATGCTTCACCACGGAACTACATTCCAGCTCTGTTTATTTTGTAAACTCCTATTTTAGCAACATTTCTAATTAGTTATCAGATTAATTAAGGAGTGGAGTTCTGTGAAACCCAGACATGGACAGACCAAAGCCTGAGGTGTCACTGGGGGAGAGGGATTAAAACAAAACCGAAAAATCTTGAAAGCTGTAATTAGGCGAGCATGTAGACTTGTTACGATTCTCCCTGTCATTGGCACATTATTTCCCAGCAGGGAATGGAATGCTCCAGCCACTTCATTTAGCTATCGCCAGCCCTCTGGCCTCCTGGAGGCCCCCAGAGGAGAGCAGCATTCAGGCTCCGAGATTTACAGACCTCAGATCTGTGGGTATTCCAGGGAAGTCCTCTATCACTGAACTACAACCCATGTTCCTTAGATTTAACGTACTCTAAAACTTCTAGTATTGGTGGAAGTTTTGGTGGACCTCTTCCAGGGGCATGGAGGGGGGGAGTTCATGTTCCATCTTCCACCCCCACTAGGAAGTGCCTATCACAGGGAGGGTTGGTGTTTTCCTTCAGGGCTCTGACTTGCTAGAGTATGTATAACTCTTGGTTCTGTGTGCATCTGTATGAACTCTCTCACGTGTGTAGCTTGTCTTCCCCGACAGGTGGGCAATAACTCGTCCTGATGTGGCTCCTTCCTCTAGGTTTATGGGCTACACAGAGATCACTGTATTATGATTCAATTAGGGAAACTGAAGTGTCCCAGTCACCTGTCCTCTCCTGATCCACAAGGAAGCTCATTACCATTATGTCTACAGCAACCAAATTGCTTCGGTAATGAAGCACCAGAGATGCCACAGCTGTGTTCAGCGTGGCTCAGAAATCTTGACAGTTATAGCAGAGAAAGGAAGCTGGGGCATTTAACGTCTTCTGAGGGCAGCATCCTCTGTTCAGCTTCATAACATCTTCTCCTGGAAATGAGCCAGTCCTTGGAGACAGATGGACTTGACTTCTAGAAAAGTCATAGCCCAGGGCACAGTTGGTAGCCTGACTCTAGGGAGGGCTTGCTTCCTCCAAGTACTCTCACATAGAAAAAGCGATGCAAGGTAGCATCCGCTAATGAGGATACAAGCTTGCTGCTTTTCGAGATCCAGGAAGGTGTCCTGTGCCTGAGATACATAGTAGCATCTGGTGCCCACCCTGCATGCAGACCATCTGTGTGTGCATGAAGACTTTGACTACAGGAAAATGAATGCTGGATGGGAAAGAAGAATGCATGCTTTTGCCGCAAGTGTTTTTTTTTTTTTAAAGATAGAGGTATAATATTTGTATACATGTTCGTGTGTGTGCCCATGTGTGCAAGTACATGTGCACATATATGTTGAGGCCAGAGGTTGATGTCATATGTATTCCTCTGTTTCTCTGTGCAGTTTTGCTTGTTTGCTTTTTTTTTTTTTTTTTTTTTTTTTGGTTTTTCGAGGCAGAATTTCTCTGTACCTTTGGAATCTATCTTGGACTAACTATTGTAGACCAGGCTACCCTTGAACTTACAGAGATCCGCCTGCCTCTGCCTCCCATGTGCTGGGACTAAAGGCGTGTGCCACACTTGTTTTTGCTTTTTAAGGTGGGCTCTGTTATAAGGCTGGAAAGGTGACTCAGTGGTTAAGGGGCTGTCCTGCTCTCGCAGAGGACCTGAGTTTGGTTCCTAGAGCTCACATAGATTGTAACTCTAGCTACAGGGGATCTGATGCCCTCTTCTGTGATACCTGCACTCATGTGTACATACCCATACTTTCACACACTCATGCACACACACACACATACACGCGCACATCACACAATTAAATCATCATCATAATAAATGACAGGGTCTCTCAATGAATCTGGAAGTCTTAGGTTTGGCTAGACTGGCTGGTGAACAGGGATCCTCTTGTCTGTGCCTCCCTGGCACTGAGATTATAGGTTCATGCCATTACAACTGACTCATTACATGGGTTCTGGGACCTGAACTCAGGCCTCATGGCTGCAGTGGACACTACCCCCTGAGTCACCTCCCCAGCCTGCCAGCGGAGTTCTTTTAAGAGCAAATTTCTACCAGGTATGGTGGCTCATGCCTGTAAAACCAGCATGTGGGAGACTGGCATAGGAGGAGTGTCATGAGTTTGAGGCCAACTGAGGTTCCACAGTGAGCTCCAATATAGCCTGTGCTACGGCCCTGTCTCCAAAAACCAACAACGAAACAAAACAGAATGAAAAAGCAAAAAGCAAGTGGCTCTAATAGGGTAAAGCAGGAGGTGCAGACTCTGCTAGGGAGAGCCGCTAGCCTGTGCCTGAGATGTGTCTCTGGGGGTTCGGCTTCCTGTGCTGGGGTAAACTATGTTCTTCTCACACTCTCAAGTAACCCTTAACCTCCTGTTTCCTTTCTTTCCTGTGCCTCCTCAGAGGGAGCGACTGAGGAACATCGAACGCATCTGCTTTCTCCTGAGAAAGGTCAGAGGGGTCCTGCAGGTGGATGGAGGGAGGATCACGGTGTAAGGGAACATCGGGTGAATGGCAGCAGGGAGGGCAGGGTGGGAGCAGGCTCAACTCTTTGGAAACCCTCAGAGGCAATAGGAACTAATTGCAGGAAGTTGTTCAGCTGGTGCCAGCAAGACACTGACCGTGTCGGGGGGCTCTCTGGTTGCAGTTGCAGGGTGTCCTTTTTCCATATGATGGTGGCTGGCATTTAAAGCTCCTGGCACTTCCCAGTCTTTGTTCCTGTCTGTGCTGGGCTCTGGATTTTAATGACACCTCCTGACATAAGGAAGTTTCTAACTAGATGCTGGGTGTCTTGAGGTTCGAACCTGTCACTCAGCTTTGCAGTTTGGCCTTTTGGCAGGATCATTGAGTGTGGTGGAGGGGTAGGCCAGGAATGTGCTGTCCAAGGGGGACAGTAGACCACAGCTGTCCCAAGCTTCTCCTGGAAGCACGCGTGCACGCATGTCACCCATGCTGGGTGTTTGGCCTTGTTCGATTCTGCCGTCCTCCAGTCAGGAAAGTGAGTCAGCAAAGCTTAGATAAAGAGGGACTCACAAGTGAAATAATCAAGGTCCATGGCCTTGAGTCAATGGCTGTCCCTGACATTAGTACAGAGTGGAGGGCAACTGGCCACAGGGAAGCCATTGTTTGCCTAAATACAGCTTTTTGCAAAATGAAGAGCTCCACCAACACTGACACAAGGGGAAGACTTTTACAAAGTTGTGAAGTTCTTCTCCGTCTTTTGTTGGAGGGAGCAGAATCTAGAAGCCCATCATTTCTCTAGCTAATAACTTGCCCTTTAATGCTTGCTAAGAAACCCAGTATGTTAGAATTCTGCATCTTATTTGTCTCAGCAGGGATGCATGCTCAGATAAGAGCATACATTTGGAAATACTAGTGATCCAAGGGATGAAGAATGATTAAGAAAATAGCATATAATTTGCATTAAAAATGTGCAAATTACTTCCTAGATAATATCACAGACATAGCAGCAGACTCCGGCCATCAACTCCATGTTCTCTGGTGTGCTCGTTAAGATAATACCTAAGTGACACAAGCCTGAGGGAGACAAAAATCAAACTGTTGTCTCTCAGATGCCCTCCCATCCGGAGTGTATCACCCCGTGTTCTCTATCTTGTGATCACTCCTAGTCACATCCCTTAGCCTTGCTCAACCTTCTGCTGCCTGGCTGCCGACTGACCACAGGAGGCAATGACCACGGGTTGCCCCATCAAGGTCCTGCTGCCTACAGTCTTATGTCCCAGGCATTTCCAAGGTCAGATCGCGGATGTGATGCAAGCTATCCATGAGCTTTGACATACGCAAATCTGCATGTGGTCTGCATCTGCCCCGCTAAGCAGAAGAGGAAAGCAGTTTACATGGGAAATACTGCATTCCAAGTGCCTTTTCCTTCCTCCTTCCTTTCTAGCTGCTGCCTCCGATGCTAGTTAGACACAACTACTGCTCACTGCAGTGGGCAACACCAGGGAAGACAGTCCAAGCTAGCTAGACATCAGAGAGCTGATGGACTCAGGCGCAGTAGCTATGTAAGATCATTCCCCTGCGGCCTCATGGTTCTTTGGCTCTATGGAGTGACCAGCACTATGGGGCTAACAAGGGAGGTACCAGTCAAGTGCCTACCATGTTATTCCTTCCAGGAGTCTCTCTTCTGTTCCACACACTTGCCCCAAGCCTGGCTTTCGGTTTAAGATGCTACTGTGTATTCTTTGCCATTGTGTCTGCCTGCCCTGGGTACCCAAGACCATTTTCATTAATGTCAGCAGAACACGATTTCTTTCTGGGTGCAATTTTGAGTTGTTGAGATTTCTTCTGCTCCTAGCCATTGGGCATCTTCTTTAGCTTAACTTGGTAACTTTATAGGCTATTCCCACAGATGTGTGCAAGTGTTCTTAGGCATGAGGTCTGTTTCTGCTACTGGAATGTTTGGAAAGGTCGGGTGATGTTGAGCTGGCCATCAGACATGGTGACAGTGAATGCTTGGGAAGGTTGGTAATGTTGAGTTGACCATCGGATATGGTGATGTTGAATACTTGGGAAGGTCGGTGATGTTGAGTTGACCGTCGGATTTGGTGACAATGAATGAAAGGTGGCATGCAGCCCATTGAAGACGCTCACTGTGTTTACTTAGTGAATGAATAATAGCTAGTTTGTCCCTCTTGTTAGAAGCGCTGCCACAGTCTTCACTTTGGGGATGTCAGGGCAGTACCAACTATCTATGATGTACTGCCCTTGTCCCTTAAAGATGGCATTTCTCTCTCTCTCTCTCTCTCTCTCTCTCTCTCTCTCTCTCTCTGTGTATGTGTGTGTGTGTGTATGTGTGACAGGGTCTCGTGGAGCTTAGGCTGGTCTTGAGCTCACAATGTAGCAAAGGCTGGCCTTGAACGCCTCATCCTCCTGCCTCCACATTCACATTACTAGTGCTGGGATTACAGGTGTATGTTACAATGCCTGTCCCTAGTGACATACTTCCTCCATCAGGGACACACCTTTTAATCCTTCTAATCCTTTCAAATGGTGCCACTCCTTGATAACTGAGCATTCAAATCTATGAGCCTACGGGTGGGGGACTCCTATTCAGACTACCACAGTGAAGTGTGCAAATATCTACCTCCCAATCCTGCCCCTACCCTTAGCAGTTCTGTGACCTGTGGGGTATGACTCAGGATGACCCTCTTTCCTTTCAGGAAGGTGACATTGAGTATTGAATGTCATGAGTATTGTGCCTCAGGCATGCAAGGCAAGTGTTCTACCTTTGAGTTACATCCCCAGGCCTCAGGGTGGCTCTTTTGTGAGAGACCAATAACACTTCATCCTCATGGCGGTTCCTGAGGATTCAATTAGATAGTACACACATGCAGTTCACATGTACTTAACACCTGCTAAATGTCATTGTTAGTGACCTGCCCTTCATTCCTCCTAAAAATCCTTATGGCATCTCCATGGACACACAGGCTGAGATGATGCTTTGTCTGATGTCATTCTCCCATCATCTTAGATAAGTACCATTCAATATTTTGGAGACAAGGTTGTGAACAAAAGTGGTACAGCCTGGGCCCCTCTCTGCTATTTGTTCATGTTTCAAACAGGCTACATCTAGATTCCCAAGCTGTGAGCCCATGCTAGATCTAGTTAGCATCACCACCTTCTGGGAATTGTACCTTCCAAGAAATTCCTTGGAACCAGCTTCCCAAACAGCCTACAATGGATGCGTCTCCGCAGCTGATCGCTGCTAAGCCACCTCCTCGGCCTTCTTGCGAGAAAGGAAAGGAAAGGACTGCAAAGTGACTCCATTTTTAGCTCTATAATTATCGGGAAATGTGTTCCTCGGGTAGTTGTCTGAACTGCAGGGTGCTGGTGTCGACTTTGCTTGTGATTCATGTTTTGTGGGTGCTCATGCAGCTCTCCCCACCCGGCGTGTAGTAGGCTCCGTGGGCTGTGACACACTCTGTTTGGGAGACACATCGTGGAAGGTTTGGTGGCAGCTCCTAGGCACACATAGGCAGACTAGGGAGGGGCAGCCTGCCACACCTGTGAGTTCAGAGTGGTCTCAGGGAAGAGCTTAAGTGGGAACCAAAGAGTTGGGATAAGAATAAAGAGGGGCTTGCTTTATCGGCAGCAATCCCCAGGCCTCAGGTTTGGTAGTCCTGAGGTTCCTTTGGCTATGAGAAGAGCTAGGGCCACGATGATGGTGGGTTTGGCTGATCTTGCCCAAGGTAAGGGATTTAGCTGCTTAGTTTGGGACATCTCTCTGGGATCCTTCTTCATGTCCTAGTTTCTCCAAGAGTGTGTCTGGTTCCATGGCAGGTTTTCTGGTGTTAGTAGATGGAATCACTTGTGTGCAGACAACTTCCAACTTCCAGTCTCCTCTTGAGGATTCTCATTGAGATGGGCAGGAGTGGGCGGGGTTTGTGGAGGTAGTGGAGCTGATTCCAGGGGGATAATTGAGGGAGACGGGTGTTCTGGATTCAACACTGGGGCAATCACAGAGGCGGTGAGAATACAGGTGCTCCCCCAAATGCTCCCTGGCCCAAGCTTCCTAGATGGCGCCTGTGTCACAGGGGGGAGCCCAGGTATGAAACAAAGCTGCCTGTATCAGTTAAGTCTATTGCAGAAACTCCATGATGTGGCTCCAAAAGCCACCACTTTCCCAGTGGAAGTTGCTTCTGTTAAATGAGAAGGTCCTGTATTCTCAATTTGCCACACACATGGACACACAAATACTTATACACTGTGTCCAGGGCTGACATCAAGGTCTTCAGGGTACCATGAAAAATGGCAATATAAGACTTCATGTAAAAAAGAAACAAAACAAGAATTTCAAGAATTCGATAACATTCAAACGAAGAGGTTCTTTTCTGAGCCCAGTGTCCTGTGCCACCACTGGGCCACATGTCCCTGCAGTGGGCTCCACCTGTGTCCATGGTCTCTAATTCTTTCTGCTATAATAGAGTATGTCTTCTCTCTGTTGAAGATGGGCTTCATCCCAGGACCAGATTTGTCCACAGGGATATGGCTAGATGTTTGTACGTATTGAAGCTAAGAGAGTTGCTGGGAAATACCCTCTCCCTCCGTAAGTTCTGATGCCTCCAAGGCCAGCCCAGTGGTGTAAGGAGACTGTGACCCCGAGGAAGTCACTTGAGCCATCTGTTGCTTAGAGCCAAGCCTACTAGATCCCACCCACCTACCTACCTATTAGATGCAGGAGCAAATGTAAATTACTCTTGTTTTACCACCTGAATTTTAGAATGATTTATTATATAATACTATTATGGCAATAGCTGTATTAGTCAGCTTTTGTCGCTGTAATGAAACACTTGAGGCGATTCATGCATAAAGAGGTGAGGGTTATTTTGGCTTGCACTTTCTGGAGGCTCCGGTCAGGTGGTCTCATGTAACCTTTAGCATCATGGTTAATGCATCATGGTAGCAGTACATGGCAGGGAGAACTGCTC